AACAAATACACTTCGCTGACGTGTACTTGTTTCTCTGCAGCTTGCGTAGTTGGCACTTGTTCTTAAAGAGGCTTGCTGCACCATCGCTGACGTAGGTCACATGAGCATACACAAATTAGACTTCGCGATTCTCCAAACTGTTGTCATATAAATTAAGTTACAGACAATATCATGCAATCGCAATTTTTTTAAGTTCTAATTTTCTGCGTGTTGTGCCGCCCTCCATGGCGGCGGATCTGTTGGCGCTCACAGGTGGCGCAAGTTCAGGTTCTGCCGTGCCCTACCTCCTATTTCGTATTACCGTAAAGGTTGTAGGCTGAGATGTTTTCAAAGTCGCCCCTGATGCTTCCCTTACGTTGCATAGACGGAGACGTTACACGCCGGTTGTTCAAACAGGCACAGCGAAGCATGTTACAGCGTGGGGCACCTCGATTGCTCCGGCCCATGGGCATTTTTGGGTCGGTTCTACGAAAATGTGTTAGGAATTTACTCTTCAAAACTACCGTCCACCTTTGTGCTGTCAATTTGTCTTTCCCTGACCTCTCCGTAGCTTTTTTTTTATGTTTTTTTATTAATACTGATATTCTGAAGAACAGGTATGTGCACGCCCTATTTATGGCAACAGCGGTACCATCCATTTGGCCATATTTCTCGCGGTATAACTTAAAAGACGCACAAATATTGCATTCTGTCTTTGCAGGGTCTGTCAGTGCATATTATAAACGTTAATTTCAAAGAGTCTAAAGAATATTAAAGATGGCCTTTTTCTAAATAATTTTCAAAATAATGCATATTTTGTTAAATGCCCCAAAAGTCAAATTGGGGGGTTTTACCTGCCAAACCAACGAGGGGCATCTGGCACGCCCAAGCGGAGAAGTTAAATGCCCCTGTGTGAGCAATTCTCGTAAATATCTCCCGCTAACTAGGACAAAAATATTTCACGCAAGGGTGCACTATGTACAGGGCAACACACTGGCAAAGTTTGAAGACCTTATCTTTTGGAGATACAAAGGAAACAAATATTTAACCAAGAGCGTTAATGCGCAATGTGCCGTGTTTCTGATTTTTGTTTTCAAAATAACGACCCTAATACCCGGTGATTTATACTTTATGTCAATCCTTCCTGTACTTAATTTGTCAGTAACTATTTCCGGACCTGTAGCCAGAACAGTTTATTTGGGGAAGCTGCACGAAATGTCGACATCGCGCGATACGGAAAACGTGCACGTGACTTAGAGGATGCTTACAATTTGTTTTTGCAAAGACAATTCTTTTTTTTTTTTAAGAAAACAAGGATTAGTTTTATTTTTCTGGGCAAGACGCTTGCAACATTGTACGACAAACACGTTGGGGCCAGTCGGAGTTTGCGAGACGCCCATCTCTGCGATCGGAATCTGCCGTTTTTGCCGTACGTGGTGTGCTGTTCTCGTGTTTCCGTGTTGGCGTGTATACTTATTGTTCGTGCGCTCGCCTGCACGAGTGTGTACGGTGACGTTGACTGCTCCGAGGGCAGTACTAAATAGCCGGTGACGAGCGTCGGCTCTTAACCGGATCTGTCGCTCGACGGCGATCGTTCGGCCGGTGTAATGCCGTGGGTTTTGCCGTCCAAGATGTTTCGCTGCTTTGCTCCTTCTTCAGACTGAGAACGTCTTTTTTACGGTTTGCATCAGCTCGTTGGTCGAATAATTCTGATTGAGCTGTCTTCGGTCGTGACATACCGTTGATACGCGTCGTAAATATTGTATCTAGCTTCAGGACTCATGAAAAAAAAGTTTTTACATTTTACAAGTCTAATCTGAGTCTGGTTATATCATCCACAGAAATGCGAGCGTTCGTCAGTTGACTACAAACAAATTCAGTTGCGAGCTGCGTTCGGTATTAAGTTTGCATGCATTTTTGTCGCTCAACGCGCGACACGAGTGTAGCTGCCGTCGTACTCGCCGTTCGCCGCAGTTGACGACAAGAAAGCAATCTCTCACCGACGGAGACCTATTAATTTCAATTATTTATTAATGTAAGCGAAGAGAAAACTGGTTCGCAGCTGCTATGCTGGGAAACGAAGATATGGATGCTGAGAACCGGTTGCGGAAGTTGTTTTGTCAACTATCGCAAATAATTTCATTGTTTACAATCGTTTTTTTCTACTAAGAGATAGGCGCCTTGAATCGTTTGAAAACTTACTTAAGGAAAAATATTGGTGCCAAAAAAAAAATAACTATATTTGCAACATTATTCACTGACGTGGTGGTTCCACGACGTCAAGTATGAGCACTCAAGTGGTCAGTATAAAAGACTCAGGGACAGTCAAGGGAGGTAGCAATTAGATGTTATAGAGTAAGCGTGTCACGCGTGTTCGTCATATTAGTATGGGATCTGTGTCGAATGCATTGTATAATTTGTGCGCTGAAAATGTTTGTGCGCAAGATGTGTACCTAGTTTTAAATGTGGAAGCGTAGAAATAAAGTAGATATAATCGGTTTCTTTTTCTTTACTTTTAATTGGATGGTGACTACCGTCAGTTTGAATGTTTTTTTGTGCCCGCCATCTGATGGTAGGCGTTATAACTGCACACATCTTTTTTTTTTTTTTCCACCGGAAATCGCATGACTTGGGGTAGTAAAATACACAAGTTCTACTCTGAGGCTAGTAAGAGTTACTAGCTTCTTGACCTAGTAACCGTTACTAGCATGACCGTTACTACCTATGGCTACTGCGTGCCTTGTAACGTATTTGACAAGGAGTTACTAGCTTTTACCTAGTAAGAGTAATGGCCTTTTTCCAAGAGTGGAAATATAAAAACTGAGAGGCGACCAGAAATGCTACATAAAACAAAAGTGCTAGCAACTGTGTTTATAAACATGTAGAACCTTCATTAACATAGCTATGCGAACATGTCATACAAAATAGTGGAAAATGTAATTTATAATTCGATTTAAAGAGTCAACGAATTTCAGTGTGCACCTTTATTTCTTAACTAGAGATTTCAATCGTTCTTGTTTTCCCAGAACCCCATTGTAACCATTGCATGTTTCAGACATTTTATTAAACCACTTTTGTGTTGTTCTCCTTAAGCCTACTGCTGCGCACGAAAACGTATGGTAGGAAGGCATCTTCAAAGCTATGTGATCGTTCTCGTGCCAGGTACACCGCTGTACAGAACTCTGGAATCCCTGTTGTTTCTAGACAAATTCTAATCATAGCAGCGTCATAGAAACACCTGGGCCGACTTGCTAGAACAGCGTCTCAGCTGAGACTGGGTCGTCGGAAGCACTGCAAAAGCTGAGGGACGCGAGGGTCTTGAGACGCGGATTGAGTCCCGCTCAGCTCGTGTGCTGTCTTTTGCATTGCGTTCTTTCCCCCAGTCTCAGCTGGTACGCCGTTTCTAGCAAGCCGGCCCAGAGTTTTGACATAGTTATGATCTGGTGACTGAATTTTTTTCAGCACTTTATAATATCATGTGCTAAAAAAAAAAACATTGACGCCATATTCACAAAAATAAAATCTTTAAAGAGAGCCTCTTTTCTGCCTGGACGTGTGCTTCTTTAGGAATCTACAGTTATTGAGGACGACGACGACACAGTTCCCGGAAATTCTATTGGTGTCTTTTAACATATACTTAAATATTTGCCAAATAGCGTGAATGCACTTCCCTATTGAAAAAACCTGCATACGTATCTCATATGGGTCCTGTATAAATTTTATACGATGCTATTGGATACAGGATCCTATATACATATACGGGACCCAAATCCACATACAGGATCCCGTATAGCTATATAGGATCTGGACCCGCATACGGGATCCCGTATAGCTATATAGGATCTGGACCCGCATACGGGATCCTGTATAGCTATATAGGATCTGGACCCGCATACAGGATCCCGTATAGCTATATAGGATCTGGGCCCGCATACACGATTTCGTATAGCTACATAGGATCTGTATCCGCATACAGGATCCCATCTATATAATGAGACCTTAAGGCCTACATGAGCACGCTAGACCTCTAAATGATCTGTTGCAACGTGCATTCAAGGGGCCCTGCAAGGACTTTTTTACTGGTTTTTAATTTGCACCGAACCTGAGTGCACTGAACGTAGTAACTTAGCAAAACATTTCTTTTCTCGAATTTCGTTTTATTTTAAAAGTTATAGGCAAGTTAAAATTACAAAAACAAGCAAAAAAATAACCTCCTTCAAGACGTCCTTGGTTGCTTGAGTGGCTGTGAACTAGAGGAGGGGCAGTGAGCTCAGCGAGGGCTCAGGGCTGCCGCACTCCGTGTCGACGGCTCAAGAGGGCGCCACTAAAGCATGTTCTGGATAGGCTGCGTGAAGCGGGCGGCCAGGGCGGCTCGCATTGCATTCGCTGCGCGATTAAACACTTATTCGGCATGAGGTTTCATTGGCCACAAACGACAGCAAACATGGGGTAAAGATCAGGTCAGAACAGGAGCCTCTTTACGCTGCCATACCGCCAAAAAGCCAAACCGCAAGCCAAAGCTGCTCGCCGAAGGCCTTGGGAACACTCGAAACCGGTCGGATCCTCCAGTCCGTACGACCGCAGCGCCGTCGCCTACATCCGGGACCTATCTACGTTCACATTCACAACTAAGTGCTTAGGTGCATCCCGAGCCTTTTTACAAAAAGGGGGTGCGGATTAAAGACTTGGGGGTCGACGTCTGTCCGCAAGTTCATCTTTCCTACTCAGCACTTTCCGCAGAGCAGGCAAGCTAGCCCAGCTGCCTGCATGCAACAGCGGCCTCGGCAGAGTAGGCGCCTTCAATGCAACGGATCCTCCTCAAACGGTGCCCTCGCAAGCTTGTGCACCACGAAAGAAATCCCCAGGCATAAACTCTAAGAAGGAGGAGGGTGCGCACATGCAAGGGCACATATGAGCGGGAGCCCTCCATGTGGGAAGGAAGGGAAGAAAGCTTGCGTGCCCACAAGCTCTGCAAAGTGTCACCCGTAAAGCTATCACTTTAAAAGAAACAACACAAGACATACAGACCTGTTTTATTTCAAGCCCAAGACAAAGAGAAAACAGGAAAAAGAGTTGAGCACATGACCGTTGACCTGAACACCTGAAAAGATAACAAAGGGAAGATCAGGTGCCTGCTCCACCACAGCCAGTGGCACTGCTAGTCAGGAGCATGGGCACATGCACATATGTGCATTCCCCCACACTCTAGATGCTATAGATGTCAGAGAAGATATGGTAATATCCCTCTCCATGGATAAACTTGAATACGACGACGGATGTATTGCTACCTTAGACCGAATGTAAATAAAGTTTTGGGGCTCAAGCAGAGGCCATGTAAATGGACAGCGTACGCAGCAATAGCTCCAATCAAGGCAGTGACATGTCTCCTTCCTATCTGTCAGTCCCATAAAATATTACATATGACCCCCTCCCCTTAAAGACTGATGCTCGACCTTGATATTCTGCAGGGGAGTTAATCTCTAAGCAATCCCCTCTCCTAAACTGCCAGGGGGAGTTGCATTATGGATGGGAGACGTGGAGAGGATATAGCTAGGAAAGAGGGATATACAAAAAAATTGGCACCTTTTGGCCAGAATGAAGGTAGAAGTGACAGTGATAGCTGTGCGATATTCGTGCAATGCGTGTGAAATCCTGGCAGAAACTGTGAAAACGGTGGTGTACAATGTTTCTTTTATTGTAGTGCAAGAGCAATATTTCCACATGCCGCGTGATGGCAGGGGCGTGTGCACTGTGCACCATCGCACGTGCACATAAGTGTCGGTTTGCATTGATACTTTATTGCATTTGCGATGGTGTTCTCATAGTAGCGGTCTGTAGAAGAAATTATGGCCGTTGTTTTGCGTGAACCTGGTCACCCGTGACACGGTCGTTTCTACGGGAAGAGCATGCGGATGAAAGAATCGAAGTATAGATATGAAGCGGGCATCTGCTATCAAGAGTCGTTGTCTGCCCGCAAGTTCATCCGTGTCCCACTCGACACTTTTCGCAGAGTGGCCAAGCTAGCCAAGCTGCCTGCACTCGACAACGGCCTCGGCGGAGTAAGCGCCTTTGAAGCGGCGACGCAGTCGCCCCCCGCGGCATCTTACCTCCGCGAACAGCTCTCTCCCGAAACCTAAATAAACACTAAACCGCGAAAGACGAGACAGAGAACACAGGACAAGCGCTTGTCCTGTGTCCTTCTCTTTTTTGTGCTTCGTCCTTCGTGCGTCAGTTTTTATGATAGTCCAACAGTTAATTTTAGTACAGTTTGCATGCACACCGTGCGGAAAGCCTGTGGATGTGCACGGGTAAACTCCTTTCTATTCGTGGGAGACCTCTGTGTAAAAAGAGAGAGGCGAAGGTAAAAGTGAGTGGCAGTCCTTCATGCGGGAAGGACGGGGGGAAGCTTGTGTGTGTGCTGTTGATAGCTGCGACGACAGCCCACGAGCTCAAAATCTCAGCAAAGTGTCATCCATAAAGCTATTGCTTTAAATGTGCAGACCGTACGTCGACCTTTAAGAAAAATAAGAGCTGGTGTTGAGTCCGACTCATCAAAAATGGCAAGTTTTGGCGGCCAATCACTGGCAAGATTTTACTGGCAGCACAGGCAGAAATCTGTCGGTGACACACTGGGGCCTTCAAAATGCTAGACGGGCAGATTGTTTCGCCTCTTCCCCGCAAGGAGAACCTCCGGTATTTTTTTCTGTGCGGATTGCCAGGTCGCTGTATCTCGAAACAAAACGTTTACTGTACCATTCGATTTTTGGCCTCAACCCAGAAAAGAAAGTACACGCAGTTTGGAACACAGAATTGGCCCTCTTCCATTTCGTCACACTCACATCCGACTGAACCAGTAAGAAACAGAAAAAATTGGTAGTTGTTTTTCACACTGTGTAGCAAACTGTCTTAATCAGAATGCTGTTGATATGTATTCAACTGATTCGCCAAACTGTAAAGGTACCCGTCTGAAATAAATTAAAGATAAGGGGTGTCTAGGAGGGCAAAACTATTTGTTGGTAGACTGCAAGGAGTGACCAGTTGGACTAAAGTAGCCAACGTAAAACTGTGACGATGAAGCTGAGCACGTGGCACTCGGAAAAAGTGAGGTTAACTACTATAAAAAACATTCTGCTAAAAAAAAAAAACGGTGATAGTCATGGCATCGACTATGCAAGATGGGAGGTGGTTATCGGCACTGTCGCCCATGCCCTCATTCTTAAAGCATTTTTGCTTATGTTGTGTGCCTCAACTCAAAATGGCTTCATTTGACTTGGTCAGTAACTGCCGAATGACTACAGATCAGTTTGATACTTTATTTATTTATTTTTGCTTAATGTGCCCACAAACAGCTCGAGGCCTTATTAGTTTAATTCTGTCATTGATCTATTCTTGTAATCTGGCTACAATCACACTGGATATTGCCTGGTACCCACCAGCAACATTTGTTTGGTGCTTGGGTGAAAAAAAGTGCCAGAAATTTACCTGAGCTGGCCAAAGAACGCCCACTCGAACAGCGCGCGCTTGCAGGATTTTGATCGTGCAAATGCTATTGCCTAGTGCCCGGTAATAGCTTGCTGAACATTGACTATCCAAATTCACCAAGAGACTAGAAAGCAAGCTCATTTGCCTCAAGAGGTGCCACTTGCATCATCCATTAGGGACGTTTTAAGATTAGTATTAGAAGAAAGTGTTGTGATAGCACTCACTGAATCTTCTCTTAGCTCCCCGAGGTTGAAGCACCACTGATGGGCTCCTGTAATTAGAAACATTTTGAGGACAGGATGAGATGGTTTAAAGGGGCTATGCAATTAACATAGAAAGGATTCGCGCATTCACGCCAGTAGAGCGATTGTATTTCTGGACATGGTAGAAATAACAGCTTCGAAAAATTAGGACGAGTTTTGCTTTCCTCAAAACTTGATTTTCTAAGGTTTCTCGCTGTGAGAACGCCCGTAACATTATTATAAATAAACATTTTTCAAAGCAAATTTGGTACAGATCTTTCCTACACATTAGATTGTGCAACCAACTAGGATAATTGAAAATTACAAATAAGTATTGATGTTATGATGCTTGAATTGAAACACCACCACCCAAAATGACAGAAGTTTTGGTACTTTGGCTATAGCACACTTACGACAATCCAAAGGTTCTGGCTCACCGGACAGCCTGCTCATACATCTGCATTACGACCAAGCCATTTCCCGTGCCTGTGCCCGAATTGCGTTACGGTTGTTATAACACGGATATTGGGGGCCATTTTATTAAAAAGTATTATTTGTTTTATTTTTAGTTTGATAACACACCTAAAGGCTTTACGAAACTGCCCCTCACAAGGCAGACATAATGTACATGTTTGAAGATCAAAATCTAAAAGGATTTTCTAAAACATGGCGACATACCTTTAAGCCCAAAAATATGCCAGTTTCGACTCCAAAACTTTTAGGAAAAAGAAATCTCTTTTCAGGCGTAATATTTAGAGGGCCCCTCCAACAATCGTTTTACTGGTTAAAACTTGCGGTGAGGCCAACCTCAGACGATGTAGTAACATGAAGGAACAATTTTCATTACAAAATTCCCATTATTCCAGAAGTTATGAGAATTTTAAAATGACAAAATCAATCAAGAAAACAGACTCCATTACATATCAAGAACCTCCAATGGTGGGATCATGGCACTGCTCCTCACGGGGGCAAGTCAACTATGTTCTGTTCTCGTTGTTTACACAAGTTTTGAAACTCTGTTTAGTTCAATGCTCTCAAAACTCAACATAAATAACTTTTATACAGAATAAGGACGGGGAACACAATCAAACATATTGTTCCATGCCCAGAGAGAAACGTTTGATGACTCTGGTCACTGAAACAGGTTACTCCACGTCAACAGTCGCTTGCATTTAGCACCACACAGCGCCACCATACGAAACACTATTATTTTGTGGTTTCGTTTTTGTTCCCAGCATCTCCCAAGCCGCTAAAAAGGCGGAAAGCGCAAAAAAAGCAGATGCTTAAATATTGTTGGAGGGGCCCTTTAAAGCACTTTAAGGCATGCAGCATATCTAAATAAACCCAAGTTTGACCCCCCATCCTGCTTTATGACAGTGTCTAAAACTAACCTTCTTCCAACCCTTCACGAGAAATTGCCCATTAACGTCATAATGATCTTACCTCACTCTCCTCCACGAAAAGTGCCCGGGCAAGTTTGTCCCTGCAAGTTCAAAAGCAGAATAGAAACCGGATTGGTAATTTAGCATATTTGACTTGCTCTTGTATGCATAGCCCTGAAAATGTGTACTTAATTAATAGGAAATGTGTTGCATGACGCTTGGGAAGCTCCACACATAACCCCCTTTGGGAAATGCTAACGATGACCTCATCACTTTTCTGTCCTGGCTTACTCTTTGGCTTCCTCTATTTTTTGCTGCCTCTTTATGGCTTCGTTACAGGGTCAGTGTTAGCACTTCCCAAAAAGGGTCACGTGTGGAGTTTCCGAAAGGTAATGCTAACGCATTTCCTAAGAATCCACCAATGGGTCCCCTTTTAATTTTTTTCCAAACGAAGGCATACACGCTCCGCACAGTTCAGACTCGCCCCAGCAACTGGAGCCCCACCACTCGGCATGCTGCGCCGTGACGTCACCCGTTCTCATTCCCCGCGCCGCTCGCACTCATAGGCTTCAACCCTGTGATGTCGCCTCCCTCTCGCCTTTGTCCTTCACTACTCTCCTCCTCTCTACCCAATGCGCTTCCCTCTCCATTGGTTTGTCGACAGACGGACCCTGTCATCTTTTCACTGTTATCTGGGTTCTAGTGCATTAATATCAACGCAATAATAAACGTTGCCAAAACACTAATAGCTACCCATACAGCTGAGTTATAACAGCTTATGACCAAAATAAAAAAACAACCAACTACCTTCAGTTCTCATCGCCGCTAATACAGTCATAATTGCATCTAGAATATTTTGTCCTGAAGTACTGCATCTTTACCATTTATAGAGAGGTAGAAAGATTAAAAATGCAGGGAGACTAGAATACAACTTTCATCATAATCATGAGAAAGACAAAGAATCAAAATATACATTTCGCACGTTATAACAGATTTCTGTCATTCCATCTCAGGCCAAACTTGGCTACTCCACAACCCAACGTGTTGCCTGGTTGCGTAGGCAGATACTCGGAAGAAACTTTTGGAACGCGAATTCAAAAGACGGAAAATTAATGGAGATATTCCTATGGGAGCTCAACAAGACTGGTGCTCATGAACATAACAGCCAGGAAAACGTGTACACCGGGAACAGATATGCTGTGCTAACATATGTTTGCTTGCACTGCACCCAAAGGTTTACAAACAGAGCAGGTGATCATAAAATCCTATTTGTAAGTCAAATTATCCTCAATAATACATAAGTCAGGATTCTAACGTAGAACATATATGGCATTTCTTTCCACACTTTATAGGGAAATTAATACGCAAATGAATGCTGGCACTATAATACACCCAACTTACTTCTTCTGCTGGTCGTTACACATTTCAGCAATGTACTTGTTCATGTTCTTGAGACGAGCTTCCCTCATCGCTGCGGCAGCAGCCACTCTCTTGTCGGGAGAGAGATTTGGGTCGGCCAGGACGGCTATCTCCTTCACGGAGGGATTGTCCTGGATGTACTTCCTGTACATATCTGAAAACAATTGGAATTCTAAAAGCTGATTGACACTGCGCTGTATAACAGTTTAGTAGTACAGTATAGACCACTTACAACGTAACCGTTCATAGTGCAGGACCGGGTATAACGCGGCTTTTTTAAACCACTGGTTCGCCTCCCATAGAACTCCATGTAATTACATACCGCTTAAAATGCAGGCGCACGAAGGGAAATACCGGTTATAGTGCGGTTTCTGCAACAGCCCCCCGACCACGCCGACGCAGCGAGCACGCTTCCCTGTGCGACACTAGATAACGGTGCGAGCCGCAAACGGCACTCGCGGGGCAAGGAGGTTGCTCGAAGAAGCGAAAAGAGAGGCTTCAGTTGCCATAGCGACGGAGGGACGCATGCACGTGTCGTTCACGTGCGTGCGTACCTCCGCTGCATTGGAAACAACCGCAACGACAGACCAATCGCAGGTCGGGGAGAAGTGTTCGCGCGCGTTGCATGCCGGTCGCGGGCCGGCTGCTTCTATCCGCAAACATGGCGTCAGTTTTGGTAGAAGCTCATCGTACCGCGTAAAAGCCCTATCCTTGACTGTAAATTTTCGTTGTGTCGCTATGGTAACCCAGCACGTACTAGAAGGGAAAATCCACATACTCGTGCGGCGATGTCGTGGCGGCGCTCTCAAGACGGCAGAAACGCCCGTGTCGTCGTGTTTGTTTACTTCGACTACAGTGGTGCTTCTAAGCATTTGTGCTTTTCGAACATCGCCCGGATTTCTTATTTGGAGCATTTCATGCCTGTGCTCAAGTTGAAGGTATTACTGGCGCATACCGTATAAAGGATGCGAATTTTCACGCGTTTTCATCGCCGGAGAAAAGTGAATAGGGTTAGCAATCCTGAACGCTCGCAACGTCCGTCCGCAACCCGCGACGCCGTTAAAAGGCTGCGCCAGGCAAAAGTCGCTCATTTCTTTCAAAATGCGTGACACACTTGAGAGAGAAGTGTGCTAGTCTGGTGAAATAAAGACTTTCCTCAAACTAAGCTTTATTTTTCATCTAACATAAAATAAATTGTTTTACAAAGGTAAGTTGTCTCATGGCATGTACACTGTAAAAAATTTACGTCAATTTGACGTGTCTTTCCCTCGTCAAAAAAGACGGGCACGCTCATCATTTCAAAATACGAGGATGCCCTCATTATTTATTTGGCGCGAGAGCCGAGCCTTCCAGAAAAGCCGAAATCCCAGGAGTGCAAGCATGCGCAGATGGCGAGGAGTTGAATGCCCCGCCGCGCAGCGCGCAGACCCGCAGCTCTTTCGCGGCCCTCCTCTCTCGCAGAATGGTGTTGCGGTTGTTGCAACACCCATCTCTGTTGTTTTGCGGTTGTGCTCCGAGTCGTGCGCCCGTGCCGCGCAGGCGCAAACAGAGGTTGCAGCAGCTATCGCCATGCTATCGCTCTTCGGGCGTTCGTCGAACTCGCCTCGGTGGCTGTTGACATCGTGGTCAGTGTAGTGTTCTGTGATGCATCAGGGCCTCATCAGCTCATCGACGACTAAATCGCCCACTTCAAGGTATGCAATGTGACTTTATCCTTGCAATGTCTTGCTTACGTATTGTAATCGAATATTTCTCCATGTTCGCGGTTCGAGTGCTTTCGGTTGAAGACGGAAAGCGCTCGAGCGTGTTCGAAATCTGCGGTCTGAGTACACGGGCGTCCAGCGACACATCGTGCTTTTGGTGTTTCTTTTTCAGCACGTTATGTTTCCGTTATAATATGCACGTGTTTATTTATCCGTGCTGCAGCGGCGGCGCCTTTACTCAGAGCCCTGCGCCTTATCTCTTAGGAGAACTCGCGAGTACGAGCTTTTATGGAAGCTTAGTTTCTGTGTTTGTTTTTGCAACAACATTCATGCAGCCAGACAACATAAGCGAGCGGCTAACGTCTTTGTAACGACGCAATGTCATTGAACGACGTTTTAGCGGCTTCGAAAACGGAAGTTTCCAGTGCACTCGATTCACGAGCCTCTAAGACGTACACAAAATTATTGACCGCCCTCGTAATTTGACGGGAAATTTCTCAAGCAGTTTGGAGGGTTAATTGTTGTAAACATCCACTCTGCAGCTCGCTGCTGGCTCTGACTTTATACTTAACAGTGTGCTTATTTTTTATATCGTATTTTCCGGGCTATAGTCCAAGGTCTATACATGTTTAAAAGCTGAAAGTTTAGGCTGTGCGGACTCTCTACGCGTGCGGACTATACACGAATTTTGTTTTTCAAGATCGTTCAGTATGAGGAGATGTGACGGATTTTGTGAGTGAAAGAGTATGTTAATGATGATTTATGTATATTATAGGCAGGCACGTAGCCAGGGGGAGGCCCCCCCCCCCCCCCCCCCCCCCCCGAAACAAAATTTTGGCTACGTGCCTGATTATAGGCTTCTTTGTGTGCTAAGAAAGCAGACATGTGTCAAGGTGTGCCGTCTATAGGAAGATTTTCGTGTCGACTAAGCACCAGGTGCCGACTATGCACGGCACGCGGACTATGCACCGGGTGCGGACTATCTAAGTATCTAAGCAAGAACTTTTACTTTGGACCCCCAATTTGCCCCTGCGGACTATACACCGGGTACGGACTATAGCCCGGAAAATACGGTACATATATTTTAGGTTTTTGCATGTCCTATATTCCGTTCACGCCTACGCTGACTGTGCGGTGCAAGCTACTTGTTCGCCAACTATAATTAAAGCCTCTTATCGCTTGACCTCGCTCTCCCCGCGTGAGTCTGCGAGAGGCGGTGACCACGTTGTGCAGAATCGACAGTTGACTGGTCAAACGAACATGCAGCTTCCACCGCACTGTCTGTTTAGGGGTGAACATTTCGCAAAATCGTAATAATTGGCTCAGCATACCCAACGGCTGATCGGCTTCGCAGAAGTTTATATTTTATTTATTTTTCTGCGCTTTCTTGTTTTATTTCTCATTGATGAGTACTGTTCATTCATTTGCACACCTGAGTCATTAGACAGCTGAAATGACGTCGAAAGATTCTTCTGATATATCAAATTTTTTTTTTGTAATCTTTAACGGACTGTAAAGGAAAATGAAGGTGATATATATGTGGATGCGGTCCTCACTGTATAATAGTAGGGCTCGGCGGACATTAGACAGGCGGATAAACGTCAAAATATGTTTACTAATTAACCGAAAATTGTAAAGTCACTGTTTAATTACATAGCTTTTTACTTTTCTTATTTCACTGTAGATTACACTTGTGCAGCTTCAGACACCCCGGCCGTGACACTTCCCCTTTGGACTTGGTTTAATGAATTTGTGTTTAGTATAGTTGCGTTATTTGTTTAGTATAGTTACGTTTATTATCATTAGTGCATGATTTTTTTTAACGAGGTTATAATTGCTTCCTCTTTTTTACAGTGGCTATTTTCAAACCTAACGTTGCATTTGCATATGTTGGTGTGCATGTGCATGGTGTGGTCTGCATCTAACTGTGTCACATGGCACCTGTGACATCCTAATGACGTCTGCATATAGTTGTTTCACTTTGCACTCGGGCTCAAAGTATAGCTATGTTGGACTGTTAATTTCAGGGTGGCATATCCCACAAGCCTCATGTTGGCTGTGATGTGCCCGTCATGCTAACTGATGTGCGCTAGATACAATAAATGTATTATATTATTATTATGAATATTATTATTATTATTATTTAGCGGTGTAATGGGCCTCTTCGCAATTGCAATTTTAAAGAAAGTAATGTAACCCCAAAACTCTAACCGGCGATTTCCGAAAAACATGGATTACTCAAAACTTGCTGCTTTTTCACAAAATTGTTTCATTTAGGTTGGGCTTTAGTAATGTCTCCGTTTAAAATTGCAATCGCAGCATTGCCCATTATACCAATACTTAAGAAGGTAATTAACATATTTTGGTTAGTAAACATAATTTTATGTTTATTCTCTTCTCTAACGTTTGTCATTGCTGTGGTATTGCTGGCTACTGCAGTGTGTGACCCAATTGTTATGTTTGTTATAGGTACTTTGGCCAGATAAACCTCAAAAGAGGTACCAGGTGTGCACCATGCCATACCGCAAAGAGCGGCATTTATCCGAAAGTTCTCAGGCTCATCAAGGAAGGGAAATGAACCCGTAGGTACTATTCAAAGATTACCAGCCGCTCTCTTCAAGCCGCATGGAGAGCTCTATGAGTTCAGCAAGTGTTCCTAGTGGTCCTTGGGATATTTCATGCTGGAGGCTTATGTAGTATTGGTCTTGTCTTTGTAACTTTGTGGGTATAAGGCAAGCTGTATTAAATTTATTGCAGGTTCCAGTTGCACCAAGCAGGTGCACTCACCCTCAGGTTGCAAGCCGCTCTCTTCAAGTCGCATGGGGTGCTTTATGAGGTGAGCAAGCATTTCTAGCAATCCTTAAGACATGTCGTGCTTTAGGCTTATGTATTACTGGCCTTGTCTTTGTTACATTGTGGTATATGGCAAGCTGTACTAAATTTATTGCAGGTCCCAGCTGCACCAAACAGGTGCACGCACCATTACAGATTGCAAGCCGTTCTCTTTAAGCCACATGGAATGTTCCATGAGGTGAGCGTGCATTTGTAGTGGTCCTTGGGACATGTGCTGTAGGCTTATGTATTACTGGCTTTGTCTTTGTGGTATACGCCAGGCTGTATTAAATATATTGCAGGTCCCAGCAACAAAAATTGCAAGCCACTCTCTTCAAGCCGCGTGGAGTGCTCTCTGAGGTGAGCAATGATTTCTGGTGGTCCTTGGTACACGCCCTTCTGGGGGTTTATGTAGTACTGACCTTGTCTTTGTTATTTTCTGGTATATGGCAAGCTGCATTAACTTTGTCGCAGTTCCCATCTACACCAAGCGGGTTGACCCACCGTCAGACCGCAAGCCGCTGTCTTCAAGCCGCACAAAGTGTTCTATGAAGTGAGCAATCATTTCTGGCTGTCTTTGGTGCATGCCATGCTGGGGGTTTATGTAATACTAGCCTTGTCTTTGTTACTTTCTGGTACATGGCAAGCTGCATTAACTTTCTCGCAGTTCCCATCTACACCAAACGGGTTGACCCACCTTCAGACCGCAAGCTGCTGTCTTCAAGCCGCACAAAGTGTTCTATGAGGTGAGCAATAATTTCTGGCTGTCTTTGGTGCATGCCATGCTGGGGGTTTATGTAATACTGACCTTGTCTTTGTTATTTTCTGGTATATGGCAAGCTGCATTAGCTTTTTCGCAGTTCCCATCTACACCAAGCGGGTTGACCCACCGTCAGACCGCAAGCCGCTGTCTTCAAGCCGCACAAAGTGTTCAGTGAGGTGAGCAATCATTTCTGGCGGTTTTTGGTGCATGCCTGCTGGGGTTTATGTAATACTGGCCTTGTCTTTGTTACTTTCTGGTATATGGCAAGCTGCGTTAACTTTCTTGCAGGTCCCAGCTGCACCAAGCGGGTAGACCCACCGTCAAAGACCGCAAGCCGCTTTCTTCAAGCCGCACAGAGTGTTCTGAGGTGAGCAATCATTTCTGGCTGCTCTTGGTACATACTATGCTGGGGGTTTATGTAAAACTGGCCTTCTCCAGTTTGATCCAGTTTTACCTAAGGAAAAGGTGGACCTCTATAGTGGGATGGACATGCATTCAATATTTTTATATACATGTATACAAAGCTGTCTATTTTAATTCGAACGAAATTAAAAAAAACAAAAAAAACGGCACGAGTTACTTAAATGATTTCCTCACTGTGTGTTTATGGGGCTCGGAGGACATTAGATAAGGGGATAACCGTTGCAGAATGTTAATCAAAACTAATGAACAAAATTTTTTTAATAATGTTTTTAATTAATTGTTTTATGGGATACATTTCAATTCTAGTTTCAAAGGCAGTAAATGTTAGACTAACAGAATTTCTGTATAGCAAGGTTCAAGATATGGAATGCTAAAAATTTGCTTTTTTTGTCACCCGATTCGAAAATTGCGTACTCGGGGAAGACCTCAGGATGTTGTGCGGACGTGGTTGCTTCGGACGCACCTTTTTTATCTTGGAAGTATGACGCGGATGCATCTACCAAGGACACACTGTCGAGATAGTGACGATGTGCCCAGTACGACTTTGTCACTCTCCCACCCACCATTAACGGCACAAATTCTTGAGTTCCTGAGCGCGGTTTTTGCATCCGACATTAAAACACAAAAGTTGGACAAGGAATATGTGGAAGCCGCTTGGCATTTCGTGAATTGTTTAAGTCGGGATAGCCTTTAATATTGACTGGCTTTTAACGCTGCTGTTGCAGCATGGCCCAGAAAGCCATTAGTTACAAAGCTAGCAAATTTTCGTCAATTAGTCAACATACTGTGACGGTTATCCCCTTTACTGATGTCCACAGAGTCCTACGAATGCGCAATGAAGAAGACATTCTGATAACTTTCGTGGCCTTTTTTGAAAATTCTGTTAGCTTTGATATAGAATGATGTGTATACATGTAAAACGACTTGTAGAATGTAATCATGCACATGATTGTGTTACAAGGCTTTGTTTTTCACCCAATTAAGTAGTGCATTTTTTATCGCAACCTTCCAAAAATAAGCAAAGCATCCAGTTTGGTATTCAAATTGTATTCTATTTCGGTAATAAATCAACGGACTACTACTTGGTTCGCCTTTGGCTTCATACTGAGAATAATAGGCATGTGTGAATCATGAATTTTGGGCTTAAAGTGTATAATGACTTGAGCTTATTAACTTTTCAGTTGAATATCACAGTGTCTGCACCTCTCTCCAAGCCTGTTACTTAGTGCCGTCACGCTAGCCTCAGCCACCCTGACAGTGTTGGTATCACTTGTTTAGCTGTAGGCTGCTTTGATTACTTTAGTACATATGTTTTCAAAATGCAGTAATATGTCAGTGAAGGAGCATGATCGTGCACGAATAGTAACTTTAGGTATGGTACAAAAAAATACCTAATATCAGGGGCAGGTAGTCATCCACTGAAATAAAGTTAGAAGTGAATAATTTTGATTACCAAACTGAATGCTCTCTTAAAATTCTCAAGGATCTGCTTAAGCTGCACAGTTGTAATCGAGGCAGCAAGCAAAGCTTGTCATTTATTTATGCTTGTCAGCAGCATGCTGCATGGGCATATAGATTTATAAGTGTACATAATCAGCATGAGGGCAATACATATACTTTTTAAATGAAATTCTAATTGATCTCGTTATCATCGCCCCACTGCCAAAGCTCTGTTAGTTCTGATCCAAATTATGTTGTGGCTCTGGCTATCATCAGGTCAAGGCCCACATAGAGGTTGTGAATATAAATATACGATTTGATGGCCTTCTCGCCATGCTCGTCCTTCAATTTCAAATTAGAACTGTTGCTGCAATGTCGTGACATAGCATGTTAGGACATTGCAGCCTAATACATATTCTTGATAACAGGATAGCTACAGTGTTATTTGTCTTCTAAATTTGACCTTGAGGGGAGTACCGACATCCATCAGATGCAAAAACATTCACGTAACCATTTTTAAATTTTTTTCTTAATTCCTCCTGTGTACATGTCAAAACCTCTCCGCTATAGAGGTGTGCATTTCCCACCAAAGTATGAGTCTGCACTGCGACAAAGCGAGATTCTTGCGACCGGGGTGTTACACCACCCCCTAGATAAGCAGAAGGCCTCCGCACCGTCATCACAGCCAGATCGATTGAGGCCTGAGATTGGGCACGAGTGCTGCGTCAGTGTTCGGCCGGGGCTCGTGTTCCATCAGTGCGTCGAAGGTCGGACTCGGGCCCAGTAGCCGAGTTAGCGCCATCCGACTGTGATGACGTTTCATGAAGGGAGAGGAGGCGATGCCCAGGCTTTTATTATTCTATAGGTATTGTTGGGTGTTAACGCGATTAATGCGATTGCGGAGTCTGCTCCATGGGTTTCGCTTCTCCGCAGCGCAGTGCACATGCGGAGAAGCGCACTGAACAAAGCCAATTCATTGCAATGGTGACTTTACGAGCGCTTTGAAATGTTCGACTGGCGTAAACGACTTTATTTTCGCGAGCTTGATATTTCATACATTTTGTGAAGTGTCAGTTTTGGAAATACTTTGTGGGAACAAAATTTCACAATGAGGAGTAATGTTCAATGTATTCGTAGCCATGGGGTTACTTATTTGCATGACCAATTTGAAGCAATTTCGATAAACTCGCAAACAGTAAGCCTTTGCAAAAATTAAGCCGTTTACAGTAGTACGATTAATGTTGAAACCAATATCAAATACCGTATAATACTAAACTGCTATAAGAAAATTTTAATATTAGCACAGCCCTGAAAAATGGCCATTTGCGGATGTTTTCGCTGTGGCCTTCATCAATCCATATGGGCTTCAAGTGTAGCAGCTGCAACCTTGAATCTGGAAAAGGCTATTGTTTGTCACACATTTTCTTTATGGTGCCTAAGGTTTCATGTAATAAATGTTGTGCCCTGCAGTGAAGACTATTACCTGTAGCATAGCCCTGGGCATGCAAAGAAGGCACACCAGCAATGTCTGACATATCAGACTTTCAGAAATGCTATTGTCCAATTTTCCTCACCCTTTTGTCCGGATGAAGCTGTTACTATCTTTCTTGCTTTCCTCTCATAGTCCTTTGAGCGAGTTATGTGACGTTATATCATAGGGTGGCATAGGGTAATTTTCTCTTCTCTTTTCCCGCAGGATGTAATGGCACACCATCATCACCAAGGAGAGTGTACAGTGAGGAAGCTCGGAAACTTGAATAAAGTGATAAGTAATCTTTCAATTTTTGTTTTTATAATTACGTGAAGAACACTGATCATAATGACTGTATGCTACACATACATACTTACAGCTGAAAAATGCAATCCACCTTTTCTTTAGGTTTTTCTCACACAGTTTCAGAACACGCTGGTACGTCATTTTCACGAGGAATGTTTGGAAATAGAGCTGCCAGAGATTTCCTCGTAATTTTCACGTACAAAGCCGCAAATAAAAATGACGACTTTCCTAGTCAATTTAGAAAAACGACAGTTCGTTATTTTCACGGGGGAAGATTTGAAAACGATTCAATCGTCATTTTCACGTCTATGCTCGTAAACTAAGAATGCGGTGCCTCGTTTTTTTGACAACTTTTCCCACATAATTTTAAAAAAATGATTGTACGTTATTTTGACGGGAAATGTTTGGAAATAGAGCTGCCAGAACTTTCCTCGTAAATTTCACGACTCATTTTTAACAGTGTACTTTGGCCTGAAAAAGTGATGTTTTGGTTATAGCGCGGTACCGCTTATAGTGCGGATTTTCGCGACTCCCGCGACATACGTTACATGCGGTCTACACTGTATACGTTTCACTGTGAAACGAAATGAAGCAGTCCAAAATCGAGCACCCTGCTACATCTTGTCAAATTACAATTTTAGAAATCTATTTGCAATAAAACAAACCTAGATTTATCTACTTTTACTCTTTGCTTAATCAACAATTCTTATCACAATCATTCCACTATCAGAAGTTTATTCCTTCAAACTCCTGCGCAGTCGTCATGTCAACTCCTACTACTTTCAGCGCATATCCGATTCAACTAATGCATTTAACAACTCACTCCTACTTCTCACAAAAGACCTTTTGCGAAATCCCCCAAGTGCCCCGGCCCGCGCACGAGGAATTGTGGGAGAGGCTGTCTCTCGCCTGGCCGCTCTGCCTTGAGATCGCATTGCCTTGTTGCTTTCCTCTTCTTAATCCTCTGTGTTTCGATTCCATTACATATTTTTATCGATTCCAGTGTATTTTTTTTTGCTTTTAAGTGTTTCCATTCTCTTCTGCGCGCAGTATTCCTTGTATATATATAGTATTCGTGTCTTCATTCTGTCTTTTTCGACGGGAGTGCCGAGAGGACAACACGCCGCTTCGCGCGTCGTTCCTCGGGTGTGTACTACCGTAGCTATCGATTTTTATCGCGCTGTTAGCTGTTCATTTTGGTTCAATTCGACCCGCGTGCAGTCGAGACGAGCCGTTTATGAACACCCGCGCACATGTCATAGGGATACGCAGAGCTCTGAATCAACAATCGCGACGCGAGAGCCGAGTGCGCTGTGATTTGGCCGCCCGCGCTCGCTCCGTTGACTCGCACTGTAGCGTATGCCTTCGAGTGGCGCTTACTTGACCAACATACAGCACGCCACTTTGTCGCAGCGAATCATTTGTCCGAATGTTTGCGAAACTGAGGCATGTGCAACGCTGCGGCGCCTGACAACTGCGTGTTGCTACGCGAGCCTTTCGCAAGCGCCGGTGGCCCAACGTCGTGGCTTATATGCGCTTATAGTATGCCTTCTTAATCTATCTGCTAAGTGGTTGTCAGTTGCAAATATCCTTTTGCAAGTGCTGACAACTGCGCGCTGCTGCGTGCAGTTGTCAGGCGCCGCAGCGTTGGATATGCCGTCGAACGGTGTTACGGTTTTGCAGGCATTTATAAAAATTATTCACGGCAACAAAGCGGCGTGCTGTATCTTGGTCAAGTAAGCGGCACTCGAAGGCATACGCTACAGTGCGAGTCAACGGAGCGAGTGCGGGCGGCCATATCACTGCACACTCGGCTCTCGCGTTGCAATTGTTGATTCAGAGCTCTGCGTATCCCTATGACATGTGCGCGGGTGTTCATAAACAGCTTGTCTCGACTGCATGCGGGTCAAATTGAACCAAAATGAACAGCTAACAGTGCGATAGAAATCGGTAGCAACGGTAGTACTCAACCGGGGAACGACGCGCGAAGCGGCGTGTTGTCCGTCGGCACCCCCGTCGAAAAAGGAAAAATAAACACACAAATACTATATATGTACAAGAAATATCGCTCGCAGAAGAGAATAGAAACACTGATAAGCAATAAAAAAATACACTTGAACACATAAAAACAGGTAATGAAATCGAAAAACAGAGGATTAAGAGGAGGCAAGCGACACGGCAATGCGATCTCAAGGCAGAGCGGCCAGGCGAGGGACAGTCTCTCCCACAATTACTTGCGCGTGGGCCGGGGTGCTTGGGAAAATAGCAAATTGTCTATTGTGGACTGCAACAATCTTCCGGAGATGCTAGTCTCTATCACAGAACGTGTGATTTTCAGGAATTCCATTATCTTGTATGCGCATGCAGCATAGCTTTCCTGTGTTTTTGGTTGCTTCTACTATCTTAGTTCTGACAGCATGTCATTTTTGTTCTTGTTGTCATCGTCGTTGTCTTGTTCTTTGTTTCTGTAGAAATTTATAATTTGCTGATATGCCCCTCCCTATAATACCCTTGAACTAGGGTGCTTTAAGGGGTACCCCACGAATTTTCGGTCTACCCGAACTAACTATATTTCCTGAATACACGGTCCTTGCCCCTTTTCGAGACTCGGAATAATAATAGAGAAAACAGTGAACAAAAATGGTGCTAAAACAAAATATTCAAAATTTCCTGTGCTTTCCAGTAGCGTGACATTACGGACACACTGACATGCAGGCCGAGAGGGCAGTCTAGAGATAGAGCACGTCGCAGATTTTGTTTGGTGCTGCTTACTAGTCAAGATTGGAATGGGATTCAATAGCATTTGTTTCACACCGTGGAACTTAGTGTAATCAGTTGGGAACGAGATTAACCGCCCAAACACCGAACCTATGCCTCTTACTGACATCACTTTTTCAGTGTTGTCCATAGTGGCTTTCAGTTTGAAAAAATAAAACGGTGCAACCCCATGCTTGAAAATTGAATGACTTCGAGACAAAATTTTATTTGAGTTCAGCCGTGTCTATCGGTGTGTTGAACCAAGTACAAGGAAAATCAGAGACCATGAAAAAAATTGGAGGAGAAACCCCTTAGCCAAGCTTTGACGACTTCACGGCACATATGAATTTAGTGTGAAACATGCTTTTATATGGAGGTGACAATGAGCATAGAGCTTTCAATTTCTACACTGGAAACACTTGCGAGCAGCTTAGAAAATTGAGCTATGAAACCACTTACTCAAAACAGCCCCTTTCTTCTCAGGGGTCATTCTCTTCTTGCCCAACGCACCCAGTTTCAGGTACCTCTTACAAGGTTTCCCACTGACGCTGCGCTCGAGGAGCTCTGCTGTAGACCAGATGGTCCTTGCTGCGTCCTTAACGCACATCGAGTCGGTTTTTGCATCAAATACGAATTCAAATTTTTTTTTCAGTAGAAAGATATTTGACCCCACATGAATCTGAAAAGATTAGAACATTGTTGCACAGCCTGTGATACATGCACTTTTAAATCACAGAGAGCAGTTAAATTCAAACCACTATTGAGATCCCCACATTTCTTGTTAAGCTTTTAAAAAATGCACAGAGGAGGAAACTTCAAAAGCTGTGCATGAAAGCAGACTGCACAGATACATGATATGCTGTCTAAAAAACTATTTCAGTCCTTGTATATATTCCATAATATCAATCAATACAACTGCATAGACTGCCCAATAAAAATAATGTAGAAGTACAAGGGGTTTCATTTATCATTTTAATAAAAAATGCACAACTGACTCAAGAAAGATACTTACTTGTCCTTCCTGCACTTGGAAAAGTGGAACAGAAGAGCTGTCGTTCTCGCCGACGGCGTCTCCATCTGCGGCGCCACCTCTAATGTTTTCATCAATGTCGTTTCCATCTCCGCCGTCCTCTGCGAAGTGGCCTCCGACGTCGCCTCCAACATCTTCATCAATGTCCCAATCAATGTCCCAGTCAGCGCACTCAACAAGATCCTCCCCGAGGTCCGCCACAATATGTTTGTCCTGGTCCTTGCCACGGTCCCCAGCATGGTTTTCTGCTGTGTGCCCAGAATGCTGCGAAAAAATGCTCACTATGAAAACAGCTGCAACCAAGATAACTTGCCAGCAAAGAAAACTTTGTTGGACCCAACAGATCACCCATGCGTGCAATAAATTTGCTTCCATGCATAGATGCCACAATCATCCATAATAATTTTGACGTAGCACAAGCATGATAATTTTCAGCAGACAGCAAGAACAAATGAGGTCCTGAGCTCAGGAACCTTGCTCAACATCATCCAGCATCCCTGCAGAACCTCTCTATTGTCTAATGTTCGCAAGAAGTTGCCTTCTTGCGAAAATTTGACTGCGACTGAACTGCTTACCCCCTGGTGCCGGTGTCCCCTGCAAAAAAATTGGGGTGGTTATCATTTGAGCCCGTTCTTGTTTCGCCCTTCTCACTTGGCCCTTCTCAAAGCAACCACTCTCAAAAGGATCTTCTCTCTTGGACTCGTCGCACTTGAATCTTTCCATACCGAAATTGTTTTCTTTTTTCGGGTAATATTAATAAATACATTGATATACTTTGTGTGTGTGTGTGTGTGTATGTGTGCGTGCCACGCTACCGGCATACTCTCTCTGCTAGGGATTTTAGCAGTACGTCGAGGTCGTCGTGAAAAGCTACTAGCTGACAATAAAACAGACCAACTATTTATCGCAGCCAGATCATACTCCGAAATGTCACATTGTTTAAAGAGCAACTCCGGCCAAAACTCAAAATGAAATAAGTTACCGGCATCGCTCTAGAGACACAAAATACAACCCCAGCCAAAAAATTGCGTCCCGCGGATGCCCCATTCTCAACTAATGCCATTAGTAAAAATGCGAGCCGCCGCTCCTTAGCGGGCGGCCAGCGGGTTGCCGATCGCTAAAGCAACATTGGGCCATGACGTTGGTATCGTTCTCAATTTTTTCTCCGGTCCAGGCGTTGCGCGCATTGCGCTTTTTTGAGCTGTTACCACCGCTACTTCGGCTTGTGATTGGCGTGTTTAGCCGTTGCTTTTATCCATAGCCCGTGTAGCTTTGGTATAGCCTTTTGTTTATTTGCTTGTGAGGACTCCAAGACTCGTTTTAGCGGGCAACTCAGTGTCCCCAAGACTGCCCAGCTGTTCCTCAAAAGATGCCGAGTACAACTTGTAGCGCTGTGGGCTGCTCAAACAACCCGCTGCGCAACCTGGAAGTGCTTTTTCACAAGTTTCCAACGGACCGGAAATTGGAAAAGGTGTGGGTGAACGTGGTTCGACGAGTGAACTTTGGATTTCGGCTTTTACGCACCCAAGGAAGAAAAAAATGGAAACAAAAAAACAGACGTGTACAGCCTAGCACACATGCGTTCGGACGCCGCGGCCCACGCCGGAGAGCCTCAAATCTTCGTGTCTGGGACTGACCCGCAGCGCGAAAGCGAGAGTGCCCCCATTACTGTTTGTCACTGGCAGCGCGGCGTAGAGCAACGCCGCTCCATCCACGGAGCCCAGACGACAATTTAGGCCTAGCGACGAGTACGGAAGACCGCACGCCAAGTTACAACCGCTGATTATGGCACCAAACGAGTTCACTCGTTTTCCAGTCGCTATACTCCGTGTTACTAGTTACGTGCAGTACAGGCGAAGGCAACGCCAAGAGAGGGGAGAAAGGGCAAGCACTAGAAAGGCTGGGGTAGACGAGAGAAACCTCCTCTCCTCTGTAACGTTCCTAGTGCTAGTGCTCTCCCTTTCTCCCTCACCCTTCAGTGCCATCCTCTCCCGTTCCGCCTTGATCGCCCTTCCTGTCTTCGACTGGCGTTGCCTTCGCCTGCACTGCACACAACTGGTGACGCATGGTATAGCTTTTGGGTAAACAAGCGACGAGTACGGCATAGCGCACGCACGGCGGCGGCCGCCGAGTGCGGCATCGAACGAGTTCATGGGTTTTCCAGTCGCTAGCTTTTGGGTCTACGTACTAACTCTTGCTACATATGCTGGATAACTACGAATAAAGAATTAAAACAAAATCAGCTTACTTCCTATCTTTAGACGGCTAGCGCAACAGAGATAGGTGCCGCTCGGCCTGCGTACTCGTTGAACGAGATGGATCCTGACGTCACGTTCATATTGCGGCTGATTTCCAGTGTTGCCGGGGCCTCGAGTGGCTAGTTTCGGTTTTGTTGGCCGCACCCCAAACAGAACTTTGAGGCGTCAATATCTTTAAAACTATGCACAATAACGAGAAAAAAATTGCCCCTTGCAATTCAGGGACGCTGACTGCACTAAAAACAGTCATAATCCCAAAATCGAAAGTATGGACCGGAGTTGCCCTTTAAGGTCTCTCGACTTGGGACAATGCCACCACTTTTATAATGTATGCTATTTCTGTTCAAATAAAGTTTCCAAATTAAATGCTCATCACTTTTTTTTTTTTCGTTTGTTTTGAGGAAGGGAAGCAGGTGTCATTGTACGATTCTCAGTGCGTACCTCTACACATAAAATATATCTGATGGTATGTTGGGGGCCCAAGCGAGGTAAGGCTCATCAACAAAGTCGCAAAGGCATGACGACGTTGAAAGCATGCCAAACTAGTGCCATTCAGTCGTAGCGCGAAATGAGAATGGGTCCAGTTGCGAAAAATACAATTGGATCTTATGAGAAGGTTCAAACAAGTCAGACCAAATGAAAATGGGACGAAATGCGCAAGGTCCAAATGCGAATGGGACGTTTCCAGATAACGGGCAAAATGAGAATGGGCCCAGTTGCGAAAAAAACGATTCGGATCTTACGAGAAGGTTCAAACGAGGACCAAATGGGAATGGGATGAAATATGCAAGGTTCAAATGCGAATGGGACGTTTTGAGATACACCCAAAAATTGTGCTTCACCTTTCTTTCCTTCACTTAATATACCAGAGTTGTGAGTGCGCGCCTGTCTGTGTTGTGTTCCTCCCTCGTTCATCCTCATCTCTTTGTGCGCGATTTTTAACCATGCTCTCTACTGCCACCAAGCCCTCACTGAACACTCGCCACTTTCTGTCATGTGACACCTGCTGTCGAACAGGAAAATTGCAGAAATACATCCCTGCCACATGCCTTTGCATGGTCTGCTTCTACTCAGCAAACTCCTTCGAGCACCAGTAAAAGATTCTCTTCTTTGACTCGGCACAAGGTGCAAATTTATCAGCTTGCAATGTGGACTACACAATTAGCAAGGTGTTTTGATACATTTTTGATAGTACAATGTCTGAAATACCTGTAAGTTTGCTATACATTTAGGCCTTCCAGAAACATGTTTTAGACTGTAATGCAAATGCAGGTTAGAAAAACAGACACCTAATTGCAGGGGCATCAGAAATAAATAGCAAGTTCTCACCAAGGCTTCAATAGGGGGGCCCATGACTTGCTCCGGAACCCCAGGACTCGGCTGACTGGTATATATAAAAGGAAGAAAAATGTTGTCAATGACAAGCTCATAACACCAAGAAAGCTATGCCTCATTCGTCCAAGCAGCTGATCAGCATAGGAAAGCACATATGGCAATGTTGATTTCTCAGAAAAGGAAGGCTCAAGAGCTTGCCCGAGCTGGCTTCCACTTGTAGCTGCCGCCCCTTGTGGTTTGTGGGCAGCAGTCTTCTTTCCAGCGCTGGGGGGCGTGCTGACGCTGGGTCGAGCCCTGTCACGATGCCAATCAGAAGATATTAAAGCAGCAGATGTTAGTAATGACAAGCTTGTTAAACGTAAGAGAATATGGTTGAATTCCCAAAGCACCTAACAAGCATGACGAGAAAATCTAAAGAGAGTAATTTCTTTCTGAAAGGAAGGCTCAAGAACTTGCCCCAGCTGGCCGTCACTTGTAGCTGCCGCCCCTTGTGGTTTGTGGGCCAAGGTCTTTCTTCCAGCACTGGGGGGTGTGCTGACGCTGGGTCGAGCCCTGTCACGATGCCGATTGGAAGATATGAAAGCAGATGCTAGTGATGACAAGCTCGCTAAACCTAAGAGAGTGCGGTTGCATTCCCAAAGCACCTAAGAAGCATGACGAGAAAATCTAAAGGAAATAATTTCTTTCTGAAGGGAAGGCTCAAGAACTTGCCAAAGCTGGCCGTCACTTGTGGCTGCCGCCCCTTGTGGTTTGTGGGCCGCAGTCTTCTCTCCAGCACTGGGGGGGGGGGGGGGGGGGGGGTGCTGACGCTGGGTCGAGCCCTGTCACGATGCCAATCAGAAGATATTAAAGCAGCAGATGTTAGTAATGACAAGCTCGTTAAACCTAAGAGAATATGGTTGAATTCCCGAAGCACCTAAGAAGCATGACGACAAAATCTAAAGAAAGTAATTTCTTTCTGAACGGAAGGCTCAAGGACTTGCCCGAGCTGGCCGTTACTTGTAACTGCCGCCCCTTGTGGTTTGTGGGACGAGGTCTTTCTTCCAGCACTGGGGGGCATACTGACGCTGGGTCGAGCCCTGTCACGATATACGATTGGAAGATATGAAAACAGAAGATGCTAGTGATGACAAGCTCGCTAAACCTAAGAGAGTATGGTTGCATTCCCAAAACACCTAAGAAGCATGACGAGGAAATCTAAAAGAAATAATTTCTTTCTAAAAGGAAGGCTCAAGAACTTGCCAAAGCTGGCCGTCACTCGCAGCTGCCGCCTTTTGTGGTTTGTAGGTTGCAGTCTTCTTTCCAGCACTGGGAGTCGTGCTGATACTGGGGCGAGCCCTGTCAAGATGCCGATAGGAAGATATGAAAGCTGGAGTTATTACTAATGACAAGCTCATTCAACCTATGTGAACTAGGCTTAATTCCTAAAGCGCCAAAGAAGCACGACGAGACGATAAAAAATTACTAATTTCTTTCTGAAAGGAAGGCTCAAGAACTTGCCCAAGCTGGCTGCCACTTGTAGCTGCCACACCTTGTGGTTTGTGGGTCGCAGTCTTTTTTCCAGCGAGAGGCGTGCTAATGTTGGGTAGAGCCCTGTAGATGTCGACCAGTAGTTATGAAAGCAGGAGAGATGTTGTATAATCGTAACGCATAAAAGAATGCAATTTACTGAAGCTGCTACAAATGGTGCATTTCTCATAAAGAGGATGAAAAGAACTGACCCCAGCGTGCTGACATTTGCCTGTTGTGGTGGGCGTGCCTTGGCGATGTGGAGTCCATCATCGTCTGTATGAACATTCACAAATTAGAGGCTTGGGGATTATTCTATATAATTGCTAACAAGCAAGCTTATCAGCATTATCACATACCAATCTTCGAAAGAAGCGTCCAAGAAAGGGCTGTTCTTAATTTCCGCTCTTCTTCCAACTCCTTCCTTGAAGCCGCTAGTTCTCCTCGTACCCTTTCCAGCTCCTTCTCAAGCTCAGCATTCGCCTGCTTCTCAATCGTCAGCAGCTTTCGAGGCACAAGCTCTTCGTCGTCATCATCACTCGTCTCAATCAGTGCCACCTGTCTTCTCTTTCCCAGAATCGCCTTCATTTCTTTTTTTCTCGCAACCTTCTGGGCAAGTGCCTTTTCCTTCCTTGATATTGCGTGAGGTGCCTGGAAAATGTATATATTACTACTAATCTGAGACATATAGGTAGAAGGTCACCTGAATGGCAGTCTTTGGGTCCTCAAAGATCACAGGAAGAGCTGTGCCTCTTGACTTCAGGAGGTTCTGAATCATATCCTCCTTACTTTCTGTTTTAGAAAAAAACAAGAAATTAAGTTGTGAGATTTTTACTGAAACTCTATCATCAACTGCTGATGAACGCAGGAAGGATATTTGCTGCTCAGAATTTTTGCTTATTGCTGCACGAAGACCACCGCATAATCGGTTGTTCAGGTATGCTCTATTTTCCAGGGCAACATCACGATGCATAAAAAGAGTAAGTCGTGTAAGCCACATATTCAATAATAAAAGTATAGTGATTTATTAAATGCATTTTTATGATCACTAAACATCAAAAGAGGCATTGATTAACCCTTTCAGCGCAGAAGATGATTTGCGCTTGTCCATCACAAGAGTACAGCTCATCAAGAGTCTGCAATATCAATGCAACTATCCTTCGGACGTATCAGCCCGTGTGTATCTCGAAGCTTCGTAGAACAGCTGACAGATGGCAGGGGAAGTAAAAAAAAAAAAAAAAAAGCCAAATTTAGTAGATTAATTTTGATATCTTTCCATGAGGCCTGCTGCACTGAATTTGCTAATTATTTTGTCATTTTCCATGTTTTGAATTGGAACTAGTCTCTCTCCATACGTGTATTGGGGTGGAAAGTTGAGAATTTATTTAGTGTCACAAAAAGGGTATCACTGGGGGGCGTCTTAAGGCAGTCCTCCGCCCGCGTTCACGGTGCTTCGCGGCGACAGTGTGCGGCTGCTAATTGCAAAACTATTAACCCACATGCCAGTCCAGCCGGCAACCCAAGCCCCGCTGTCCCCGACTGCACCTCCGGAAAGAAAGTCCCGTCCTCTTAGTTCAGCAAAATTTCGTCAACATTTTTTTTTATTTGTGTGTGTGTGTGTGTTCATTGTAAAAAAAAAAAAGATGTTGTAAATATCGTTACATGCTCAACAAAAACAAACATTTCAAAGGATTAAAAAAAAAAAAAAGTAAGCTTCACTGGGGATCGAACCCGACCCAAACGGGGACAGGAACATGTGAAAATACCACTTTTTTTTTTCTTTATTGCCTATACTACACCACCACTACGGAAACTTGTTCCAACCAGTCGTGTTTCAGGAGTTTCGCGTCGTGCTTAAATCCATTACCGATCGAGGTGCACGACGTAGCGCGTATAGCTTAACTCATATTGAAAAGTGTCTTACCTTCCATTTGCAGAATTAGGGCTGAATAATACCCTTCCTCTGTTCCCTGGGGACTCCTCCAGTAGGTCTCGTACAGGTGCGCCTTGTCGTAATCCGAAACGCTCTTGGGGCTGAAGTTTCGGATCAGCGTCACGGACACGACCGCCTTGAGGTTATCCTCCACATAGCGCACATGAGCAAACATCACTCGCGCTGCCGCGCTGCTACTAGGCTCTCAAAACAAAAAGGTACACCGAAGAACTTCTGCTTTCAAAACAATGAGGTACGCCGAAGAGCGTCTGCATCAAAGCATATACGGCTCTGGCATGCGCGCGGGACCGGGACTAATCAACTTCACTTATGGACGACATAGCGCGCCCTCTAGTCATGACACCCAGGGAATTACTATTGAAAAATGAGGTATGGGAACCAAATGAGGAACCCAAAACAGCATGTAAATAGGAAAACACTTAAACAACCATCGCTTTCACTTAAACTGTCATTAATAATTCTTATCAGTCCACCATTCACTTATGAGTAATGCACATCCCCCAATGAATGTATTATGTTGGCTATTCATGCCGCGAGACAACGTTGGCTCAGGTACGCTTTGAAGTCGAGTTGAGTCGAGCGTCTGCATGCTCTTCTTCGTGACTCACTTAGCCGAGTTGAGGTTGCGCACAGAGTCCCATGCTGTTCTTGGTTTGCTATGTCAAACCAACCGCGGAAACGGTCAAGGAAGAAGTACTTGGAGCCTAATGAAGCTTTCATCGTTCCGTCGTCAACAAGGCATTTCCGAAGTAGGCTGGCCCGTACACCTGACGAGTCTGCGGAAGAGCATCAAGCCTCAACTACAGATTCCGTAACCGAGAGCACAATAAATCTGACTGGTGCAGTAGCTGCAGAAGCAACGGAAAACGGTGCAGGTTCGTCTGAAGGTGGACCCCAGTTCGGCGAGGTAGGCAGCAACGACACGCAGCCTGACAACTGGGACGATGGCCTGCTCGACGACACACTTCAGGAAGACTCCACTGTCGATGCCGCGGAGATTGTGGCCTGCTGCTTCGAAAGCTTGCAGCATGCGATTCTGCCGATATCTAACATCAGCAAGGCAGAGGTTCTAGCCATGGTGATGACTTTTGTGACGTCCGAGAACCTGACGTGGAGCGGCTTAGATAAGCTGCTCGTAATGATCAACCGTATATGCGGAATGGAGGTGCTGCCCCGAACGAAGTACCTGTTCCGGAAGCTGTTGGCCTCTAAACTGAAGCGTTCAACAGACTACTACTACTGTGAGTTTTGCGCAGGCTTCCTTCCGACACCGGAGGATGGTACTTCCACGATTATCTGCACAACGTGCCAGAAGTGTACCACAATCTCGGAGCTTCGCAGTAAAGGGAACTTCTTTACAATCCTCGACGTGTCGGATCAAGTGCGTCAAGTCGTCAGCAAGACGTCAGATGAGCTGTACAGAAACTTGGAGAGGCTGAACAGCAATCCCGAAGACACGATGTCGGACATAACCGATGGGAGTGTTTACAAAAAAATGAAAGCCAGTGGAGCATTGCAGTGGGGAGACTTGACAATGACGTTCAATACAGATGGAAGCCCTATTTTCAAGTCTTCAAAGGCCTCTGTCTGGCCACTGCAGTTTGTCATCAACGAAGTGCCTGCTCCGGACCGTTTCTCAGCCAGTGGTGTCGCTGGCATCTGGTTCGGAGCGAAGCACCCGGACATGTCTCTTTTTGTGGGCAAGTTCGTGGAGCATCTGTCAAGCATGGATCCCATCATTTGGCAAGCAGAATCACAAATGGTGTCATCCAAAGTTTATGCTGTCTGTTGTTGCCTCGATGCTCCAGCTCGTGCCGCAGTACAAAATCAAGTGCAGTTCAACGGGTACTTCGGTTGCCCATGGTGCATGGTTGCTGGGGAACACTTGGAAGGTAAATATTTAATTATGCATGTCACATTAAGAGCTTCGCGCCCAGCATGTTTTAGTTTTGCTTTCACCCAGCCTGCTTGCTTACTTGCTCTTACTGTTGTGGTATATTTCTTACCAGGTGCCATGCGGTTTCCAGAGGCACATCAAATCGAAGAACGCACCCACGAGCTTGTGCTGCGGGACATGAAGTATGCGGTCACCTATGAAACAACGGTGAACGGCTTCAAGGGACCCTCTCCATTGATTAATCTGGAGAACTACGACATGGTGTCCGGCCAGGCATGCGAATATATGCACTCGGTTCTTCTGGGCGTGACCAAGCAGCTGACGGAGCACTTGCTGGATTCCTCCAACTCTGCCGAAAGGTTTTACATTGGTAAGAGTGGGGATTTCTGTGTAGGCCTCATATTTACATACAGTTTGTAATGCAAATGACGAAATTATAAGAGACTTTAACTAAGACAAATCTGAATTCTTTCAAGCCAATCACCTTACAAGTACTATTAATCAAGGCATCTTTTTACTTTCAGGGTTCAAAGCTAGAAGTAGGGTTTTGCGTTTTCAAACAAATCCGATAAAATCAAAAGAAAAAAAAGAAAGCACTTGCTTGTAAAAACTTTGTTGGTTCGAATTTATCCGAAAGATTCAGCATTTTCGAGACTGCTGGCTGTCATGAACCCGACCGGTAATTATATGTTGCCGGAATCTTCTAACAAGTTTTGTGCTTTCTTTTTTCAGCAATAGATGTATTATGGACGCTTTATGGGGTTTGTGATGTCTGTTGTTGGTCGTAACTACTATCAACCTTGCAGGTTTCCCTGTTTTCTCACAGGAAGTTCTCCTGCACGCATGCTTCCCCACTCCCCCTCCTCCTCGCCCCTCGTTTGCTGCAAATCACCCTCCTCACGTGTAATATGGCTACTGTGCATCTGCACATGTGTACAAAACGCTACCCACATTTACCCTTGTTAGGAGACGTTCCAGCTAGGAAGCTTATTCCAGCATGCGGCACACCAGAGGACTCATCGAAATGGCATTGCCACGCAAAGTGTGCATCGCGTCGCATAATAGTGCTCAGGGTGCGCCGTATCACCGTGGTTTGCCAAAGCCATTGTATGCAAATCACACAACAATGAGGAGCCGCCTGTGCCACCCATATACAGCAACGACACACTGCAGCACAAGGCCGAGGCCTCCTGGCACAGTTCCGGAGACTGTGATGTGCGCCAGCGTGACATTGAGAGCCGCTGCTCTTTACACTTTCCGTAAAGAGTTGGCCTGCAATGTCGCTGTAACCTGTTCGCACGTTGAGGGCAAAAAGGAGCCATTTTTAGTTGAAACATTTGTTTGTGGGCTTTACAAAAGAATGCCGTGTAGCTCCTTATAAAAATCAGGGAGCCTCCCTATGACCATAATCTAATGTGTCTCACATTGAAGAGGATTTTTTACTAAATTTACAAAGCGCTGTTTTCTACCCTTTATTTCCTTCACTGAAAAAGACACAAACAACTTTATGTACCATAAAAGCAAGCTGCAAAGAACTCCAAATTTATGATAAAAACCAACTAAAAAAAAAAAACCTTCGGTTTTGCTTAGAAGTAAACTCGGAAAATGCAGAACCCTAGCTACAAAGTACTTGGATAGTGATCTGACTCACGGCTTCTTGCACAATAGTGAAAGCGTGGTCTTGCTTCTCCTTTCCCCTTTTTTATACCAAAATAAGCAGGGAAGCCAGATTGACAAACCTGAATATGAGTGCATTGATGTTAGTTTGCTGTGCAAATGTTGGGTGGTCAACCTGCACGGGCATGCAGTAGGAAGCATGCAACAAGACAGTGCCACTGTAGTAGGATTCATAGGGGGAGTATCTGGCGTTCACGATAATCACCGATGGCCAGTGTGAGGTGCGTATTCAGTAAGGAAAAGTTGAGAATTGTTCAGGAATAGCGTACATATCCACACTCCCTCTAAATTGAACTGGCATTGTTGTCACGAGGCACAAAAAGCTAAACACAAAACGAGCTGTGTTTCTTGTCTGAACCATGTGTTCACCATGTCTGTAATGGTGGCTCCCAACGCAGCCCATGTCTTCAGACTCCAGCATAGACATACTCACCCTATTGAGGCGAGCAGCGAGCAATTTGTCCAATTCTATTCCAGTAATGTCTCTCACCGCAAACAAATGGGAGTAAAGAGTTAACATGTCAGCATATTCCCTTCCGGCGAGCCAAATCACATTAAAGGTATACTACAACGAAATTTTGGCGCTTATTTTTTGGTCTATATGCGTTCAAAAAACCAGTATCTCATTGGACGCACCAATATCTTGTTAAAAAAAGACACGAAAAGGAATTTTGAAACAAATTAAACGATTAGCAAAGAGCACCTGGTGGATGTCTCTAACGCCTCGTTTGTAATGCCAGTCTAAGAACCTTGACAGGTAATGACGTTAACTGTCTCGCCCCCGGTCACCATGAGAGCAGAGGAGGAGGAGGAACTCCCCTGTCCCCCCCGAGAACCTCTTTTGTGAGTCCCAGAAGTCGCTATTGTCCCTCTACGAGATTATAGAAGATTAACCTGTCACTCGAAATTCATACAAAAACAGCCGCTTCGGTGGCTGGAACGACTAGGCCATCCTTTCGACGTCAGCCTCGTCGCAGCTTTGCTCGTCCCGAGAGGAACTACGTCACAATTGCGGGGGATGTCACGTGCTCTCCACTGGCTGCTCTTCAAGCGCTTGCCAAATTTGCCATTTATAACGAAAAATACAGGCACCAGGTTCAAAATAAAAATGTGCGATTGTCATTTACAGATATTGTGGACCATATTCAACCTATTTTTGAACACGACGGGTATATTTCAACTATCGTTGAAGTGTCCCTTTAAAGGGCAACTCCGCTCAATTGCAGAAAAATTGGGATTATGTCTGATCCCACCCTTGAAAGCACTAATAAACGGCCATTTGCTATGGTGAAATCTGAATTTTTTTTTATGCAATTTTGCTTTTAACATGTGTCGATATCGACCAGAATTGAAAGGGAAACATCGACTCTGACAGGCAACGTTGACAAATCACATGGTGCAAACAATCATCTGATACTCTACAAGGGGAGGAGTCAGCTGCGCGGACTACGCTTAATTGGAAGCATAGCCAAGTATTCCTAAAAGAATATCCCGTAAACATTAGCAGATGGTTAATTCTGTTAAATATCACACAAATAAGTTGCAAAGTATGCCTACATAGCACAAACAAAATGTCGGTATCGCAACAAAGGTGAAGCAGATGATGCTGAGAAGCTTCGGGGGCGTCGGGCATCCGGATTGGCGCTGGTCGCGTGGACGCCGCTGAGCCAACATTGGGCGGAGACGCTGCTGACGTCACTAGCTCGGTTTGCCCGGAGAAGTAAAAACAAACAAAACATGGACATGACTGATGTTATGTGCATCACATGGTCATGACCCTGAGGTAGTGACTCAATGTTGGGTGCGCCAACTCTATCGTATTGACTGTGCTGTTAATTGCACCTCCGTCATCCGCTAGAGTTAGCAGATTTTGGTGATAGGGCTCGTATCAAAGTTTCCTGGCCTTTTTTCAATAGATTTAGACGGAATTGTATCGTAATACTTTATGTGTGGTCTTCTGAGATGATACTAAAAGGTCCACAGTGTTTTCTCTGTAGCGAAAATGAAGCGAAGTTGCCCTTTAAAGCATATGTAGAGCAGCGCTGGACATGTGTAGGTTTTCGAATGCTAAGGGATGACACCTTTACTCTTGAGTGAGATTGAGCAAATTTGGGAACACGGTGACACGGTCACGGATGCATACGAAAGCGCAGGGAGTGGGAGGTGCGTCACAACACCTTGTAACATCGATGTGGCCATTGGTGGCGCTGCCACAGCAGAACCGGGTTCGACCTTTCGTACAGTAAGTTAGGCCAAAAAATTCAGCAATCCTTACCGGGATTGATGTATGCGGATGATTTCATACTAATGGCTAACAGGACCGAGTTGCAGGAATTAATGAGCATCTGTGATTACCAAGCAAAGATTAAGTGAATGGTGGCAGAAAGCAAGGGGAAACTAGGTATTTTCTTATTAACGGATGGCAAGGGGGTTTTATAGCCTCACTTTCTTTGCAGTGCAGAATGAATATAGATTTCACATTTAAACATTCTAAGCTTAAATGGTAAAACAAAGTGGCTAGGTGGCGTAAGCTACCGCCCGATCCAAAGGGCTCAGCCGGATTCATCCCCCCATCCATCCATGGGTACTCCATTTAGGCGTTGCACAGTCCCCATAGCCGAAAACTTGTAACACACTTGTATCGATGCTGGATACTAAAACGGCGCTCGAACTGTCTTCAATAAAAGTCTTGATTGTTTTTGCATTACTCCGAAAAATGAATAGCATGCCGCCTCTAAATCTTTCTTGAGGCTTTACAGCTTGAACCTGTCATACGAGTTTGGCTGATCTTTTTAGTTGTTTTTAATAAGGCTTGGTTTGGTTTCCTTCAAGAACAAGTTGTGGGTTAATGGGTCACTGGTTTAGTTTGCAGTGCCATACTACTCACATAATTGGTGAGGCCCGATATGCCAAATACTCATGGCCACATTTTTGAAAAAAGACAGTGAAGTCAAACTTTGCAATACCTTTGAGGGCAAGTATGTCATAAATGAGGCAAATATACAATAGTGCAGCACCTCACTTTGTTGCATATCCCTTCAGTTAATCACAATGCTTTAAAAAACCTGCCGTTAATTTAATTTGTCAAGGGAAGCATATGTTCATCTCTCCTTTGACAAATCACTTGTAGCTTGTAAATGAAAATCTAAAGTAATAGCTGATAATTTTAGTAATCAGGCGAGCTGGTTTAGGTTGCACATTGTTAAAACCGGAGACGATGGAAAAAGGGGGACAGGACACGCGTCTCAACTGAGACGCATGTCCTGTCCCCCTTATTTCCATCGTCTCCTGTTTAAATGATGAAAAAGTACTCACATTGCTATTGCTTAAGCATATTAAGTGCTAATGGCACATCTCTTTTGTTTGTATTAATTCCAGGAAGTCCCCAGTCTCTGGAATCTGCAAACAAGCTCCTGATGTCCATCCGGCCACCTCACTGCATCACTCGCCTGCCACGCTCTCTCTGTGAGCGGAGCTATTGGAAAGCCAATGAGTGGCGGAACTGGCTGCTCTACTACAGTGTGCCTTGTCTGGAGAACCTGCTACCTCACCGCTACTGGAAGCATTGGTGCCTGCTTGCGGAGGCGATATGGATACTGCTGTCGACAAGGATATCGCAAGAAATGATCAGCCATGCCGGTAGGACAGTTTTTTCCCGTACCAAGTAATATTTGTTCTCTTGTAGACCTTGCTTTGGTACAGCACTAATGTTTGCATATACAGCCATCTGACCGGAAAGCCTGAAAGTATGTAACGCGTGGCGACCGAAGCAGCGTAATTTCCAGCTTCTCGGAATCGGTGGTGTCACGCACGTTGCTTACTTTTCGCATCTTAGAAAGTGCATAGCAATGCGGCGCTGCTTTCTCCTTGCGTTTCATGGTTAAGGGGTATACTTTATTAGCCATGCAATTTTTACAATCCGGGAGTGTTTCTCTGTTACCGTGCACTCCTACGCTCCAAGTGAAGCGTTCACACTTCATTAAAAAATACTTCTTTTAGTTCGAACTCCGCATTATTAAACAAAGCTTTGGTCTCACACGAGTTTGATTTAACGAGCTGAAACTGTAATTGGCTGAGGGAGTGGTGTGAATCTGTTGGAGGGGCGTCTTTAACTAAATCTAGAAACATGCTTTAAAATTTGACTGGGGAGTTATGAGCGTGGGCCTTATAAACCACATTTATGACCGTGGTTTTTTATGTCCTAATACGCCTCGCAAGTGGGCTCATTTTCGTCTTCTGCGCATGGGAAAGGAAGTAGCGGTGACAACAGAATGCCGAGCCCTGATTGGCTGATCGTGACCCCCTATCTCAGCGTCGTCTGCTCCTTTGCAACGTCGTCTGCTCGCAACGTCGTCTGTGTCTGTCTTACCTTCCCTGCGGCTTTCGGAAGTGCAGGTCTTAACGAGCGAGCTCGACTTCGCCTTTCAGAGAGGGCAGACGAAATAACTCGAGCGGTACGTTGTTTCTGTCTAACAACTAGCATACACGCATCAAGGAGGGAAGTCAAAGGAGTCACTGGCGAGGTGTCCCGAGGCGCCGAGGTTTCTTTGCTAAGAATCGAGAGTGAGCGTGTTAGTGTCCGCAAGTTCCCTCCCAAATACTTCTTCCCTCCTTTCGTGCGGGGCAAGACCCCTCATTCTTTAACGGCGTCGGCGGGTTGGCGCAGTTAACGTCGTCTGCTTTACGTCTGCTTATTCAAAGCGATGGCTGCTTTACCGTTCCTGCGTCTGTCGGAGATTCACCTCTTTTTCACCGGCGAGAGTCACCGTTGCCTCGGGAAACAAGGAGATAACAAGAGGAAGAAAGTGACCTCTTAATCTAAAACTGAGGTCAGCGATCAAAGTATAATACGGGAAGGGTTCACAAGGGTCACGCGGGCATATTCCATTCAGCACACCAGCCAGTCGTGGGCAGACGGTCGCCGAGTCGGGGAGTGCCTTCTAGGCCTAACGGCCGTGCTCGCTTGGTCGCGTTTGGTGGAATCGTGGCCGTTGGAGCTTTTCCCGGGTGTTTGTGGATCCAGCGTTCTTATTCGTCGTGGTCTGTTTCAAGTACTTTTTACTTTTTTCTTGCTGCTTGAAGTCAGGACGCGTGAGAAGCGCACGTAGAAAAATAAACGTCCGTGGGTCGTCGCGACCGCGACGCTGTTGGCCATGCTGATTTGATCGTAAGGAGTGCGTAAGACACCTTCGGAGCTGTCGTAGGATTTCGTCGTAACCTGCGCAAAACTTACGAAAATTTCGTTTCGTGAATACGAATTTGTTCTTAAGTTATGTCTTACGCACATTTTTGGCTTAAGATTGTTTTGTGAATCTGGCCTCTGCACTTCTGAAAGTCGCAGGAAAGGTAGGACAGACGCAGACGACGTTGCGAGCAGACGACGCTCAGATAGGGTGGTCGCGATCAGCCAATCAGGGCTCGGCGTTCTGACGTCACCGCTATCCCCTGCGCAAAAAGCAGACGAACTTGCCCTCCGCATAGTTTTGCCACATTACTGCATGCACCGCTAAGCTGACATGGCAGGACGGAAGCTACATGCTTGCCGAACCAATCAATCGCCTGCCTTTCATTACCTGACCCCGCTGTGTGTGGATGAGTGCACATGGAGAGCATGACCATGTGGTGCGAGACCAGGGGTGGGTGCAGGAATTTCCTGAGGGGGGGTCAGGTGTTGGTCAGCGTACCGTTTGTTTAGGAACCCTCTCCCTCGTTTCACGCCCTAAAAGTTACACGTGCAGAAATCAAGAGGGGGGGTCAGGACATCCGGACCTTGCCTCTAAATCCGCCCCTGTGCTAGACCAACCGTTGACTGGGCCCAAAAAGTAACTCGCTTCTTCCGTCCTGTCCGCTTAGCCTTGAACGGAGTATAGTAGCAGCAGCACTTTCAGTTTTATAATAATTTCGTGCCTTTTCAGTTGGAATGTTTGAATTTGGTACCCATCAAATATTGTTTTTTGAAGATCTGCGCTAGCTTTTGTGCCATTCTACCATAAATTCTTAATTGAATTCTTTCTATTTTAGAATCACTCCTCAAGAGGTTCGTGGACCAGGTGCTACGACTGTATAACGCGAAAATGATGACATTCAACATGCATCAGCTCCTGCATCTGGCAAAGTCAGTGCGTGACCTGGGACCACTGTGGGCACACTCTGCGTTTGTTTTTGAGACGGGAAACGGAAAGCTTGTGAAATGTGTGACAGCTGCAAAGGGCGTACCCCTGCAGATTTTGGAGCGTGTGTGCATGGCACAAGAAGTAGAGTTGTTGCCCATAACATTAAACATTTCATCGCCTGTGAAAGCTGTATGCGACAAGATGCTTAAGCATCGGCTTGTCCAGACGGCATGTGAGGTGGACGGTGTAACTCTGCTGGGTCAGGCAAGAAATGTTACCAACCTTTCAGCCAGTGAACAAGAAGCTCTCCTTCAAGCTGGGTACCCTCAGACAGTCTCAGTAGGAGAGTACTTCCGGTTTGTTTTTGAGGGCAACATCATCACAAGCAGGCAGTACACCCGTGAAAAAAAGAGTAACAGTACTGTAATTATGGGGTCAGACTCTTTGTTTTATGTAATTAATAGAATCGTAGAGCTTTCTGCTCCATCGAAGCCATGCCTTCTCCTTTGTAAAGAAATAGTGACCGTTGACGGTGATTATCCAGCTCACATGCAAGAGTGTTTTATCTCTCCAAGCAATATCGTTCAAGCACTTCCTCTATCTCTGATATCCTCTGTGTGTGTGTTTGTAGATATTGGTAACAAGGCTTTTGTTTGTAAACTCCCAAACAGAATTGAAAGGGATTGAGATGACATGAGTTCATGTTTTCTGCTCAAATGAGGAGTGTCATGTGCATGTGTTTTTAGTGCACAGGAATGATGTCCTTGAGTCGCACCCGGCTGCTTAAAATGACTATACACCTCTGGTAATGTGGTTGAAGTCTAGCGGCCTTTATTATAGGCAGTTTTCAAAGGATATTTCACAATTCTCCTAAGAAAAGTTAAATTGAAAACGACTGGGTGCGGCTGGAAGATGGCAGTCCCGTCTGTCAAAACTTGGATGCGCGCACTGGAATACGGAGTCACGTGTTCATCTGGACTATACCTTTACACTCTTCAATAGTTGTACCCTTTCCATTTGAGTGAATGATTAAAGGCCAGTAGAGTTTTCTCTGGGTACTGCCAACACCTGCTGTAGTCAGTGACACGTTAAAAGTGAAGTGGAAACTCCGCGTCCAGCACACACTCGTTACTTTTTGCCATGCTTGGGCTGCGCGGGCACGCTTGTGCTATCAAGGCTACCTTGCGTTGGAGGCACAGCTTCCACTTTACTCTTAAAGGCCGATGTACGACCTCAATCTTCTACAGGGAAGATAATCTTCTTGGCTTCCTCCTCTCCCAAACTGTGAGGGGATCCATGCTGCATGAAGGTGAAAAGGGGAGGGATACTTGGGAGAATAGAAAGTGCAAAAAAAATGGAATATACAAAGCGTATATCGGTCTTTAATCTGTCGCTGACTACAGTAACAGGGCCTTAGTGCTGAATATGCCTGAAAAACAAGTTGAGAAATTGGTGGTCTCCTTAGTTAGCTATGTTATTTTTCTTATGTGTTTATTTTATTTTGTTTAGTAAGTGACCATATTTGCTCATGGTCCAGGCTCACCAAGATGTTTTGTCACTTATCACAGATATGCTTGCTGTATGTAATTTCATGAGATTTGTTTTGTAAATAACCTGAATTAGTTACTTTTTTTTTCGTCACTTATGACAGGCATAGTTTCAATGTCTAACTAAACTTGTTTTGAACATGATGTGAGATATTTTGTTCTTTTGCAGCTCAGGCTCACCCATTTATTTTCTGTTTGTTTTGCCACCTGTAATAAAATATATGTGACTTGGTCAGCTCGGTTTTGTGAATGACCTGAATTTTGTTCTTTGTAGCTCATGCTTACGAAGTTGTTTGTTGTTTTGCGACTTGTAGTAGCTATAAATTAAATGGCATGGAACTTTACCAGCCTAGTTTTAAATATTTTTTTTTACAAAAGTGTTGTTTTAGCAAAGTTGTTTATTTATTTATTCGGGGTACTTGCTGCCTGGCTGTGAAGAGGCCAAGGCATTGCACAAAAACTCAATTAATGATAGTACAGCAGGGTATAAAGAAACAAAAATGATATAGTCAATGGATGTGGGCACAGAAACAGAAAAGTCAGTGCCTATATCCTTAATATTTTCCATCTGAAAGGCCAGTAACAATGATTGCAGAATACACAAGCGCTTAATTGCCAAAGCAAGGTTAAAATTCACACAATGGTGAGAAAGGACACAAGAATGTTCATAAAGTGAATGGTACAGGTGAGTTGCTTGGGCCTATCTACTAATTTGTGTTGTCAATTAGCGGTTGAAAGCTGGATGATAGTTTATCAACGCAGTCAAGGTTTACCATCTACGAAGGAAGCCTGTTCCACTCTGTAACGGTGCTTAAAAAAATCTACAAAAAGGCATCCTTGCAACAGAAAAACTTTCATGTTGTTTTGTCATATTACTTACTATATAGTCGGTTGGAGTTCACTGAAACGATGTCACTGATAGACAGACCATACTAGTTGTTGACTTACTGGTAGAATAATTTGAGCCTATTAACCTTCTGTGTAGCTAGGCAAGGCAAGCTGGACAGCCATAAGAGGCAAATATAAACTATAGGAAGAGCATAACAAATCTTTTCATATTTCACACTATTATGTTGTAAGCTATGAAAGACAATGAAAATGCCAAAATTACTTTCGAAGATCTGCAGCTTTTTTCACTGCCAATCTAATGATCAAGTTATATGATTTGCCCTCAGGGAACTTTATAGTTATTGAGTAGCACTACATGTGGAGTTTTTTGTCTCCAAGTTATAATTCTATTTTTGATTTTTACACTTGTTGTTAATAATGCTTCATTTATTAAATTCCAGATGAAGGGAAATTTTAATCATGTGGATCGACTACCTTGATAAAACCATTAAAACTCTGCATCTCTGGAAGCACTACAAACATAAAAAAATTAGGCGATACGTTGTTTGACTGAATGCGACATAAGTGCACTAGCACTGGCTTTTGTTTAATTTTGATCATTTGATCATAGTTATGATCATGTGATATCATAGGTCACATGACCTAGAGACGGACACACACAGAGGGTGAAGGGGGGGGGGGGGGCGAATGGAGGGCAAAGGGACTGGGGGGATGGCTTCGGACACACATAGGGAGGGTGAACGGAACTGGGGCGCGGGGAGGGAGGAGGGGCCTGCAGGTAGGGGTCTGGGGGAGGGCGGCTTCGGACACGTGCAGGGAGGGCGAAGGGACAGAAAGAGGGAGAGGGGTTGTGTGGTCTCTAAGTCACGTGACCCTCCTCGTGTACCGTGATATTGTAGCTTACGGACCTATGATGGAGGTGGTCACAGAATCCACAAAATTTAGCGGAATCATGCTGCCACTAAACTTAGCAGGCTACGACCAGCTTTGGGCACATGCACAGATGCCTTTTTCAGAACCGGCACATTTAGTTCTAGAGCACAAAAACAGAAATGGTGTATAAGACATGTTTTAAAGAGTAAAATCTTACTTCTTGTAATGGCCCTAATGGAGTTTGGCATCCCATATAAGGCTATACCGGTTGTGGCTTTATGTAAGTCATCTTTTAGGACTTCCTGTTTGAGTGTATACAGGAGTCGATTTGTTTCCTCACAGACTATACAGGAACTGGTTTCCTATACAAAGTACCGATATGGGAATAAACAGGAAGTGGCTTCCTGTAACACTTCCCATACTAAAGTCTACAGGAAAGGGCTTCCTGTAACCTTTCCCATACAGGAACTGGTTTCCTATACAAAGAACCCATATAGGAGTTGGCTTCCTGTAACACTTCCCATACAAAAGTATACAGGAAAGGGCTTCCTGTAACACTTCCCATACGAAAGTATACAGGAATCACCTTCCTGTAACACTTCCTGTATAACATTTATATGGGTTTTTTCAATAGGGTTTGTATCCAACAATTACGTAATAGCAGAGAGGTATCAAAACCGCTTTCACGAAATGCCCTACTTCAGGGACGCAAAGCTACCTGCAAAAATGAAAGCTGAATCATCAGAAAAACTGATGCTCGCCGACTTTCAAGACCAAGTGGCTTAGGGGACGTCCTTTAAAAACGGCAAAGAGAATCCGCCCTAGGAAACAATCCCACATGCGATGACTTGCGCTTCTTGAACAATCGTGTCCACCTGTGATGACGACGGCATGCTGCCCGACGACAATGAACCCGATGCTTCCCACGGAAAGAAGCGACGTAAAATAGAGCTACGGTGCCAAGCTGTATTTTTCAGGGATGAAGGCAACCAACAAGTTGGATGCACCACATGTACATCCCGACTGAGAACCACAGGGTCGAGTCGCTCAGCAAGCTCAAGCTCACAATTTATTTGAATATCGTTGCGCCAGGAATGGTGAGTGAAATAGGAATAACAAAGCTCGGAACATTGTCGCAGTTTATGAAAACCGTCCTTGCTTTAAAGTCGAGCTTCTCAAGCTGCCGAGGCTCTGTACAGTGACGGCGAGAGTTGATCTACCGAAAGATCGCCGAAACTGTTTTGGCACTCTACGGGATATTAGGGAGTTTTAGAATAGCGCACGCTAAAGCTTTGCGTACACAAAGAATAGCGTCGTCTCCACTGCGCATGCTCCGAGCGCAAACCAGGTTTTGCGCTTTGCGTGCGCAATTTTAGCGTGCGCTATTTCTCGGAAATAGCGTGCGTACGCAAAGAGTGTTTGCGCTTCTCCAAGGAGGAGTCGCGATGAGACGTTGGCTAAAGCCAAGAAGAGCAGAGTTAAAAAAAATGGCGCTTCCAGGATTATGTCGGCGGCTACTTTGGCGGCGTCGTGAGTGCGACGTCGGCGGCAACCTCGCGGCTGTGATTTTCAATACGGGACGGCATGGTTCTCGGTTTTGCAACGATCATCGGCAACTTGATTCTTGTGACGCACAAACATTTCTCGGTGAAGGTTTGATGTGCGAAGGTCGGTACACGAGACCTCTCTTGCCGGGGCGACGCAAGCGGACACGACCGGTCAAACGCTCGCGTCGCATTCTCATATTTAAACAAATCTAAAATAGTACTTTGAACCAAAAAACTTGTGTTTTTTCTCCCTAAATTTACGGCATTTCGTGTCTGAAATAAAAATTGTGAGTGAATTTTGGTGGCGTCGCAAGCGCAAACTGCTTGGGCTTTTGCGTCGCGACGGAGAGACGCTATTCTAAAACACTCTTGCGTCGCGTGCGCGAATACAAGCGCTAAATTTAGCGCTAGCGTGCGGTAAAATTGCGTACGTTATTCTAAAACTCCCTATTGACCATAACTGCACAGGAGACCGTGTTAAAGAGATACTGAACCAAAATTTCGAGCTCACTAAACAAGGCCCGGCGAATAGGCGGGAAGCTGCAAAACCAAAAAATATCGCTCATACGGCGATATATCTAACGGATCGCCGTATTTTTTTTTTCTTGAAAAGAAGTGCGCGATTGAACCCGGCCGACGAGGCCGACGAGACAAGGCACGTCACGATTCCCATTCCCTCTCCTCCTCGCTACGTCCCGTCAAGCTGGGGAACCGAAGCGAGGAGGAGAAAAGCGAGGCCGCTTCTCCTCATTCTCAAATTCTCCCGGAGGACAGTTACGTCAAAGAACTCGCTTGATCGCGCCCTTCTTTTCCAAAAGTACGGCCATCCGTTCGAGATATCGATGTACGAGTGGTGTTTTGGAGTTCATAGCGTCCCGTTCAACACTTCTGCAGCCTTACTTTGTGAAATCCAAATATCGGTTCAGTATCCCTTTAAGCCGCATGTGCAGTCCTTTGTTGGCGTAGCAGAGGGGAAGCGACTTTCGAAGACGTCGCCCGTAGTCCGAGCCGCCTTCCCAGGAAAAGTTGCTCCTCACCATGTTAAGGTGGGGCATGTAAGAACTTGGGTAATCCCCCCCCGAGCACCCTCCTTGCAGGGCTATAAATGTTACCAAGTTCTCCCACAATGCAGCTGCGTGCAAGAAATAGTTTCAATTATGCTACCGGTGTGGGCAAGGCTATGAAGACACGTGTGAAGCCAGCCCCAGCGGCGTGAACTGTCAATGACAGCACACCTCCAAATCAGCCGAGAGCTCTGTCAAGGTAAGAGCGACTGAAGTTACAATGTATCGGCTAGAACACAACACAGCTTTTCGCGGGGGAAACATGCCGTGCACGCTAAACGCCAGGTAAGCAAGCAGACAGTTGAAAGTGACAAACCAACTTCCGGAATCCCCACAAAAGAGGTGCCGTCCCTTAATGCTCAAGAGTACCTTCCTCTTAAGGACCTGGAAAACACAAGTGAAGATCCTTGAGCCGCTGCTGCGGCTCAAGGATCTTCACTTGTGTTTACTTGATCCTGTGTTTACTTGATCTTCACTTGTTTTCACTCTGCTGCAACTGACGCCCTCGGAGATGCTCGGAAACAATCTTTTTGGGGTAAAATCAAAACAATACAGACATGACTTCACACGCGCCATCCCATTCGCGTGCCTCGGCGCGAAAACAGGCAGGGGAAGCAGGTACATCTTTATTCAGAACCAAATAGTCCCACTGGCATTCACCACTTTTTATTAAATATAATAAACCAGACCACCGGCGTCAACGTTACATCAAGCAATTGAAGCAATTCTATCGTAAGAGTGCTTTATTGTAAGGATACTCTAAAGTTTTCCCACGCTCGTCTCACTCTAAGAAACGAACAGTGTTCATATCGGCAGCATAATAAACCGGAGACATAGAAACAAAAAGTACGCACCTAACACCGCCTGTGGAAAATATGAGAGCGTGGGAAATCTCAGTTACG